TTCTCTGTATGTTTGACTTATTAATATACTTAGAGGTAGAGTATATTCCATCTTAAATTTATGAAATGACAATTCTCTCTTCAAAACTGTCAGGTTGAGGGTGGCATGTAAATTTAAGATAAAATATTGTATAAATCATTTAAAAATGGAGGCTGAAAATAAAAGGATTTTCTTCCTTTATGTCATCTATATGCTTTTGGTTGGTGCTTGGACCTAATTATGTGTGTGTGTGTGTTCTTTTTCCCCACAAATGACATCTGAAACTAAAGAGCTCAGATTAATTTTTAAGAGCTCAGATTTGAACCTGAATCTCACTATCTCTACCTAAATTTTTTTCCAGTGAATCCCATTTGGTTATGTTCATTATCTCTTTGGCATATCTTTCCCATGTATTAGAAACTTAAAAGGGAATAATAATAATGATAATAAAAATAATAAACCATCAAGAAGTACCAGTGGGACAAGGTAAATGCAATGTGGGGGTGTAGGTAGCCAAATCTGACCATGGTACTAAGATCTGGGAATATATTATAGATCAGGAAAAGAGCTGCATTTTGGTGCGGTCCCCCAAGGTAAAATAATCGCCCAGTCAGACATGGCCCAAAGGTTTCGTAAAGAAGATAAGTAATATTTGCCTCAGAATATCACTTTGGGCCTTTTAAAAATGCCAGAGACTATGAGATATGTATCATCACTGCACTATTTAGGAGGACAAAAGGGAAAATGGCAGCATCTCTCTTTTGGGAATTTGACTAAAGATCATTAACCAAACAGCCAAAGTATATTCTGATTTCAGCTCAGGAAGAAGGTGCTGTAGAAGACTTTACCAACAGTGGTCTGGTATCATCTCCCGTGTGAAAACTTCCCTCTTCTACAACATTTGCTTTGTATCTCTTTTTAGTTATATGCAGTGAGAGGACAATTATTTTTCTGTCCACATCCATTTTATTCTGGACTCTAGGTAAGTTTGCTCCCATTCAGTAAGCACTATAGTTGGATTACAGTACAAGAAAATAATAGCTTTTGGCAAAAATATTTTCATTCAGGGCAAAAGAATATATATGTTTGTTTACTTATGTTAATTCTCACCAGAGGATATTTTTCCATTGATTTTTAGTGAGAGTGGAAGAGAGAGGGAAACACTAGCATGAGAAAAATGCATTGATTGGTTGCCTCCTGCATGAGCCCTGACCAGGGCCCAGGCCACGGAGGAGCCTGCAACCAAAGTACATGCACTTGACTGGAATTGAACCCAGGATCCTTTGGTCCACAGGCCAATGCTCTATCCTCTGAGCCAAACTGGCGAGGGCAAAATTACCAAAAATTAAGATTACATTAAAAATGCAAAGGATGTTAGAATAGGAAGGAACTTTATTAATCTTATGGAGATGACTATATATTCTGGCCTCACTAGGGTAGTCTTATTTTATATCTCTTTTTACACAGTTGTTTATAGCCCCCTTACCATTTTCAAAAATGTCCTAACGTGATAAATTACATAGTTATGCTATCCTATATAATAAAAGGGTAATATGCAAATTGACCCTAAAGGGGTAACGACCAGGAATGACTGGTAGCAATGATGAGCACTAACCACCAGGGGGAAGATGCTCAATGCAGGAGCTGCCCCCTGGTGGTCAGTACGGTCCCACAGGGGGAGCACTGCTCAGCCAGAAGCCGGGCTCACAGCTGGCGAACACAGTGGAGGTGGTGGGAGCCTCTCCCGCCTCCGCGGCGGCGCTAAGGATGTCCAACTGACGGCTTAGGCCTGGTGGGGAGCAGGCTTAAGCCGGCAGTCAGACATCCCTTGAGGGCTCCCGGACTGTGAGAGGGTGCAGGCCGGGCTGAGGGGCCCCGAGTGTACAACTTTCATGCACCAGGTCTATAGTCTATAATAAAATACCCTCTTTTTACCAATAGGTTAAAATCTATTTCTCCCTGACCCGGACATGCAGGTTGAATGTACAACTATCTACTGAATTCCCAGGCCATTGGATTGTTCACTTTACCATGCCACCCTTAAAGTAAAAGGCTGATAATTTGATAGAAATACACACATAGAAAGTGTAGATTTCACTAAAGGGCAATGATATGACATCACTACTTTTGAGCTGCCCAAGACACTGCAATTCACAGATGAGGAGAATATGTTTCGAATGTATAAATTGTAGTCTACTATTATCTCCACTCCAAGGGAAAAATTCCCTCATCTTCCACATCTGCAATAACTCTATTTTTAGCTATATGCAGTGGGTGGACAACTCGTTGTTTCCATCCCCATCTTAGGCACAAGTGTGACCATCTTATTTCCAGGCTCAATGTACCAGGTATTTTGCTTCCACTCATGAGTACTAGAGTTGGAATTAATGTGCTGTGGCAATAATTTTTCACTTTAGAACTAAGGTCAGTAATAAATAAGTTAAATTATTTTACCTGTCTTCCTTAGAAAATTACCAACAATTTTACTTTGATTGCGCTTACCAACTAACATGTATTTTTATTTCAAGTTGTATAAGAGTATAAAAAGTTACTTTTAAATAATAAGCTTAGTTCTAGTTCCAAGAACCTAGAACTCTAATTATATAAATTTGTTAATGGTAATAAAAAAACATCCTATTTCCAATTGAAAATAAAGATTTAGTTTATTTAAAAAGTCAAAAAAACATGAATAGTAATAGAATTTGCATATTGATGACAATTTCTTGAACTTTCTAATACAGAAGATAGATAATACCCATTAAATTACCAAACTAGTTCCAAAATGCCCACAAACACTGCTATCAATTAGTAAAATAGTATTTTACAGAAAGCTTTACGTATTAGCTCTGACACCAAATTGTTAGTGTAGGTAGTTAGATATTAATAAAGGAAGGGAGCAAAGGGAATCAGACATTAAGCATAATAAACTAGGGAGCTGAAACAAATATTGGGCATGCTTCACTGAGAAGCTATAGCATCACAGGTTCATTCACCCACTCCAGGAGACCATCGCATCCTCCACCCTTGGGACTTAATCCTTGGGCAAACCCCAGGCAATCTCCTAATAGGCAAGAAGAGTCTCTCCAGGGAACTGCTGGCCTGGTATCAGATTATCAGGATTATTGGGGGAAGGAGGAGAGGAAATTCCTCTGCTGGGTACACGCAGAGTAGAAGCCAAGATGGCAAAGGATAAAATCCTTCTATTATGAAGCATGCCCAGTAGAAACTAAGATGGCAACTATAAGGGGCAAAGCACAGCCTGGGGCAAGAATCAGATTGGGTAAGAGACACAGAACCCCAGAAGATCCAGGAAATGGATTGGTTAGGGGGAAGACCCACCAGAAGCCTGGGGAAAAATTGGGAAATTGATTGGTTATTTTGAAAGGGCACTTGGTCCTTCCCAAGCCCTAGATAATATAATCCAAACTTAATAAAGTGGAGTCTCTCTCTCTCTCTCTCACACACACACACACACACACACACCTGGTAACACATGCTCGCCCAGTACACTCGCACATTCTCTCTCCATAGCAGCCATTTGGGCCTAGCAGCTGCCTTAGGCCTGGCAGCCTCAAGGACTCCAAGTGTCCAAGTGTAAACTCTAAGCCTGGGTACAGCAACATAGCCAGGAACAAACTAGCTAGCCAGATGGGGACAGAGACTAAATTGGACTAAGCCTTGGCATCGCGCAGGATTTCTGGGCCTGATGAAGACAAGGCTGGAGTTTTCCCACAGTGGGAATGAGGGAGATGAGACCCAGGGAACCTGGGTGGAGCCATCCATTTCAACCCCAGTAAATCTTACCACAACACCTCAACCTCCCATGCATGGGTCCTTCAAAATGGTTTTCTCACAACTCCATAAAATGACCCCATTTCTACCAGCAACAAAATCACTCTTTTCAAAAAAAATTTACTCACTCATTAATAATATAGACCAATTCACTGATAATTTCTAACATAACTCTATTTTGAGCCTTTACCACAAAAGGGAAATATTTGTTTCTCTTTAAGAAATCTTTGAAGAAATTGTTAAAGCTTTAATGATGTATTTTTATTGGCATATATTCTGATAAGTTTTTATAATAACTTCAAAGAATAAATGAGGATCATGTATACATTTAGGATATATATGTATTTATATGGGTGTATATATAAACACATAAAAATAGTTGGACTATAATATTTAAAAAGTTTTTATTAAGGAAAGTAGAGTGCTTCTTATATGAAACTAAAGTTAAATAATAATTTTAAAGTAATTATTGTGTCTTAGGAATTTATGCTAATTATTTTTATAGACAAAGTATTGGAATCTTTCTCATAAGTTAGTAAGTTATGCATTTCAAAAATTGTTTCCTAATGACTTTGCATGGATTTAACTACTCTACTAATAAATTCTGTCAACTATCTTTCTGGTCAACAATATTTGCAAGATTCTTTGGTAAGGTTAAATACGTAGCCTGTAATTACAAAATAAAAGTCAGGCAACTGGCCCATATGAAGCAAACCCACTTATTTTCACTACCTTTCATCTGTCAAGATAAAAAAAGTAACCAAACATCTCTTAAGTTAATATAATTATAAATTTAGAAACTATCATAACATAAAAATATATGGTAACGTAACTAAGAACATCTTAGCTAAATACATATTATCCCTTTACGTTGTTTTCACATTGTACAATGATTTTGCACTAGGTTAAGAAATAGTGAGAGTCATAGTGATTCAACAAAAAGACAGAGACTTAAAGAAACAAATATTTCCCTTTATTTGATTATATTACATCTACTCTTGGAACATTCAAAATTGAAATTCTCAATTTACAGGCTTCTAAATAATGCTATTTAACTGAAAGCCAGCCAGTAAATAGCAACATATATTTGAAAAGTTTACTTGTGGAAAGTAATTTCTAAACAAACTTAGTTTAGTGGAGTATAAAGTAGATTCAGAATTATTAGCATGATCCAGAGAATTAGAACAGTAACACTCAACAGCATTTTATCAGTAGTGAGTTTGCCTTACTCCTTCGCCAGCTGCACACTGGTAGGTTTTGCTCCAATAGGTATCCCGTACTTGTGCAAAGTGTTAATTAAAATCTCCCTCATGTCGGTGTTGTAGGAATCAAAGTCAAACACGTTCCTAACCACACTGGAGAGACCTTCGGTGGGAAATTTCTGCATTAAAAAACACACACCTTATTATGTATATGATAAATACACAACATAAGTACAAAACTGATAGAACAATGATGATACAATGAACTTTTTTTTTTTTGATACAATGAACTTTAACAGACATTAACAGCCTGGTCTCATAACCAGATAGGAGGAATATGTGTGTTTTCTCTACTAATTTTGCTCTGATGACTTGGAATTTTCCTTTTTAAATATTAGAATTTGAGGGGCCCAGTTCCTTCTGTCAAATGTTAAACCATGTTAGATGCTGGTTTCAGTGCCTTCTACTGCTTTCTGAAATCTCCTGACTTTAAAATGAATACCAGATTGAACAAATAAAAAACTACTGTTTAAACAGAGCAGAGCATTAAATATCTGTACAGAAGTATTTAGAAAAGTCAAAGGTCTATGAAGAAATGAAAATATGATAACAGAACAAGAAAAGACAGAGAGAACATCAAGTACAGAGCACAGAGAAATGAGGTGTAGCAGAGGGAAAGAAACAAGTTCCCACTCGTGTAAATACACACTACAGTGTCCTCTGGGTCCTTCACTGGCTCTGTCTTTCTCACACACTGAGATCTGAGCTGGGCTTACCATGGTTTTACAATCAGAATAAAGCTTTCTATATTCCTTTGCTGGTTTTCCTTCGAGGATTGGAATGGGGCAAAGATCAAGAATCATGAGGTTGTAATTGTTAGCTTAAAGTTCATTTTTTTTCTTCTTTCATAATTATTAATTTTTTATTGAGCATTCTTCCAACTCATTACCTTAAATGAGTCTGAATAGAAGAATATGATTACATGAGTACAACAATGCCTAGTTTTTTAAACAGTACAAAGCAAAATTTTAACAAATATCTTATGAATTACAATGTAGTCTTATTGTTATGTGTACTGTTAATTCAACTCAGTGCATGCTTACAAGCTACCTAATTTCTAAGCAAACATCAATTGCTGAATTTAAAATAACTAGACTTATAAACATTATATCTAATAATGATATCTGACAATTATTTGTTATAAATAGAATTTACATAGATTTTTTTGTTTTCTTTACCAAGGTAGGTAGACTACAAATTCCACACGGCTACAAGGAATTTCATTCTCCTGTTCATTTACTCTATCTTATAAAACTGTCTTGCAGTATTTACAGATATATAATTAATAATACTGTTGGTCCCCAGTTTGTTTTCTATACCCAGGTCTTCTATTTTCACTCAGATACTACGTGCTTGTTGTATAAAGTCAAATAGTAAAAAGTTTCCCTGCGGTCTCACTCTCTTGTTTCACTCCCCCGCCCCTCAAGCAGATTTCATGGCTCTTTGGTAATGGCCAAGACAAAGAACTTTGCCAAACTTAATTAAAAGGCTAAATATAAAATGTCCACTGGTTTTCCAGATTTAAATCTAGATGACAAACACTTATATCACCTGAATCAGTATAATATTTACAGAAATTGAAAGATTTGGTATAAATTAAGCTGTCTAAAAAAAGACTGATGGCTTATTTTAAACCTTTATGCACAAGCATTTGCCATACCTGTAAGTGCTTGACTATGTTGACAACTTCTCTGGTAGAATATGGGTAGCTAATAATCCCCTGGTCAGCTAAACTCCTCAGCTCTCCAAAGGCAGCCACGAGCTTCTGAAGGATGGGCTCCGGCACATTTGGTCCATACTGCCTGAGCATCTCAAGCTCCGAGTGGGGCTTGGGATTATCAACTGCATGGCAGCTAAAAATATCACCTATACGAGAAAAAAATTCACATTCAGCATGCAACGAATCCATTATACTGCCATAGGAAATATGCAATGGTTGTTTAAAGAGCCACCGGTTGGTCACAAAAGCAAACTTTTAAATGTGCAAAACTGCACAGAAAGCCCCTCCACAACAGGAGGATGTGGAGAAGACAGCGAATCACCACAGTTAAAGAAAAGGAAATTGAGTGATGCGTGGTTTATTCTGTACAGATTTGCTTCTATTAAAAAACTAAGTAACACTTGGATACAATCTCATTGGGAGATACTCAAATATAAAGAGCATAAAAGAGAACCTCTGTGTGTTTCTGCCATCCCACTTGCTCCCCACAGGAACCTGTGTTAACAGTTCAGTGAAATTATTCTTTCAGGTTTTTTTAAAATGCACACATACAAACATGTATAGTTTTGGTGATCTATTCCTTTTCCATTTAATTGGAAAATAACCTTCATATTGTTCTGAGACTGCATTTTTAACTTTAACACATTAAATATCTTGAGAAATTATATACATCTATCTCATATGCATGCTTTACGTATACTAAAAAAGGGGGAATCAGCATCATCACTCTAAATAATTTATACCTTGCGCAGATTGCTAGAATATAAGTTAGAAGTCAGTTTTGGAAAAGCAAACCTGCAGCGACAATGTCTAAATTAGAATCAAGAAAAAGGAATGTGGAAACACAAAATATTTCATCTGTAATTTAGACAACTGAGAATATACTAGAAAAATATAATCTAAGCTAAAGAAAGGTGACTTTCTTATATTCAAAGTTCATATAATTCTACTGATTGATAATCCAGGAGATGAGGAACAAAAGGGAGTTAAAGTAAATAAATTTGCATTATTTAAGATGTTCATTTTAGAAAGAAAGGGCATCTAGATCTTCTTAATTTAGAAATCATTCGAATCATCATTTTATCATTATTACATATTTATAACAGCAATGGAATAAAATGCAAGTACCAAAGAAATCACTGCCTAAGGAAGAAATCACTGCCTAAGGAAGAATAAAATGCAAGTACCAAAGAAATCACTGCCTAAGGAAGACAATCCAGATCTGTTGGACAGAATCATCATTCTAACCTTGTATGTCATAGACTAAATCCATTAAATACAAATGTGAAGAACATCAGAAATGGTGATGGTGGAGAAGTCAGTCAGGCAAGGCCTCATGCTGCAAATGCAGGTATTGAAGATAAAAGCATTCTAGGAGAGCTTTCAGCTAATACAGACCCTACAGCAAGCACAACCTGGTATGTTCGCAGAAGAGGCGGCAAAGCAGAATGGTTGGAATAGAATGAGTGATGAAGAGAGCTGAATAAAAAATGAGGTCAGGGAGAGAAGAGGATTTGGGAGACATGCTCTGTGCTCTTCTAAAGAAATTCTACACATGTACAAGCTTAATCACTTGTACACATATCCCTCTTGCCTTTTGTTTTTTTACTAATTCAAATGGTAGACTAATATACCCAGTGTTCTGATTTACTGTATTTTGGGAATTATTTCTTAATCAGTATGGGTAAACTTACCCCATTCTTTTTTTAAGACAGCTGCATAGTATTCTATTGTGTGGATATAATAGAATTTCTTTATCCAGTCCCATTTGGATTGTTTCCAATTTTTTGCTACTATTAAAAAATGCTATACTGCCTATATCTGTACTTACATCATTGCATGGGTAACTCCCTTAGATGAATTGTTTGATGTGGAATTACTAGATCAAAATTCCTCCTAGGACACTGAGCCTGCTCATGTTGAGTATGAGAATTACCAGTATCCAGAATTACCTACGTGTCATAGAAAGATATGTCCTTCTTAAAGGCTCCTGGTGGTTAAGGTTAGCCAAGGGCCTCTCCAATCAGTCTTCTGAGCTGGCTTCCAACCTTTTCATAGTTATGGGGATGTAACAAAAACCAAACACTAAAAACCATTCCTTACTTTATATTTTACTTCTAAGAGGTCCTACACAACAAAGTATAGTGTAGCTGTTTAAGGAAATGAGCTCTGGAATCAGAGCCAAGCTTTAACAGGCATTATTTAAGTGCCCCTGGAAAAGCAGTTAACCTCTCCGAATATCAGATCTTCTTCTCTAAAATGGGGATAACAAGCACTCTCCCAGGAGGCTGGGGTGGTGACATTGCACTTCGAAGCATTCACTGATAGCCATTACACGTGTTACTAAGACAGCGATATTATTGCTATTGCTACTGGTTTTGTTATTATCATTTATTGCTTTTACCTAAAGTACCGAAGAAATCATTGCCCAGGAAAGGAAATCCAGGTCTGTTGGCCAGAACAATCATCCTAAAATCAGGATGAATCACTATAACATTTTCTCTTCCATTGACATTAGCAGAATCTGAAAAACAAAATTTCTATTTACTCTTTATTGACATTTAATAATTCTTAAGAATATCAAGTTATAGCCTTTAAATAATATAACAAGTTGTCATACTGTTCAATTATATTTTTAAAACACTAAGAAATATGGTTAATAATGACTTGTTTACAGAAAAAAACTTCCTTGAGAAAGTTTCCTTAAGAACAGAATACTGATAAATCATATACTAATTATACAGGAACTTGCATTTTTATGTTATTCAATGTACATTTATTTATTAAAAAAGCAAATTTGTCCAAATGTTGTTTTATGGTATTTTAGTTTGGCTTGAGATGCTGTTATTCCTTAAAAAATGAAAATAAGAACCAATAACAAGGAATAATCCAAAGCACACTCAAGGACAATCCAAACAGCTTTTGGTTTTTATCAAATCAGCAGCTGCATCACATTGCAGAGAACGTGCCATTATGCAGCTAAGGAGTGATTCTTATTCAAACTATTCACTCTGAAACTTAGCCAAAGAGAAGAATGGTCTTGAACACAGTCAACTCATTCATGCAATGCTGATTTATTTCCAATGAAAAAATTCTACCATAGTTCTTAAAATAAGTAATCTTAGGTTGACTGGAGCTTTTTGTGTGTAAATGTTTAAGGTATTAAGGGACTTGAATACTACCATTCAAAATGATAGTTGTGAAGCACCTGCAGTTTCATTTGAGTCTATAAGAACCTGAACTGGCACTTTTTATGATACCAAAAACTAACCTTTCAATGTACCATATAGTCTTAATAGTTTTAATGTTTGATCGCCATTAATTTTAGTAGTGGCAAATAATAAGGTATGTGGTCACAGGTAAAATTTAATTATTAGTTAAAATAAAAAATGATAAAAAATGAAAAATTTTAAAAAGCAAAGAAAATAAAAAAATAGCTCTACAAGTGATGCTTTATGAAATCATGTTCAAAGGAGCTTCAGGGGCTCTTGTGTTTAAAACATTGTTTACACAATGGGGGGATAAGGACACATATGTAATACCTTAATCAATAAAGAAATTAAAAAAAATAGAACATTGTTTACAAATAGGAACAGACTGTCGAATCTCAGGAGGAAGGCAGAAGTAGGTGGGTGGGTGGGAAGAGATCAACCAAAGAACTTGTATGCATATATGCATAACTCATGGACACAGACAACACTGTGGTGAAGGCTTGGGGGGGTGGGTGTTAGGGGGCTAGAAGGTGTTGCTGGGGGAAAAAGGGGAATAAAGATTAAAACTAATAATAATAATAATAAAATAAAATATTGTTTACAATCAAACCTGAGTTTAAAAAATATGATGACCCCTTTACTTCTAGACTATCTTTAAAAAAATGTATCAGAAAAAGGATTACCAGGATATAATATCACTCTTAAACTAAAATTTGTTTCAGCAATTCTTTCTTGCTTTCCATTTCACTCTCCTCATAATCCCTCTAAAAAGGGCAGGCAGAATTCTAGTCCTGAGAGTCTAAATAATCTTTCTTGGAGATAGTATTCAGGCTGTCTGATTCAAATTCTCATTTTCTCCATAAATTCATTGTGAAACTGAAATGTTAGAATATTTTTATTAGTGCTGAGTTTCCCAGGCTCAGACACAGAAATTTTGTAATGGCAATGCCCAAGAAAAATATCTCTGTGGTGATGCACTTGTACATTTTAAATAAGGTTTTTTTTTAACATGTTCTCTGTGAATATTGGAAATTTTAGTTATCAGTCGCAACTTGTTTGGTTACTCTGCTATTGGTTATATATTTTCAATGGCTAGTTATAGATTGTGAAGTCTTTTCATGATACAAAATTTTTAAATTATAAACTAGAAAATGTTCTCACATTGCATTAGACAAACTTAATTTTTCTTTGTTAGATTCATCTACCTACATTTCCTCTAACAACAGGAATAAAATAAGTAAATAAAAGGAAGAAGATAATCTAAAACAGAGGATGACTTCTTCCTGTGGCAGGTGTGTGTGTGTCTATAATATACCTGTGTATACACACATCTATTCAAACACAAATGTGACAAATATATATAAAATACCCAGAAATTTTTGTAATTATACTGAGATAATAAAGACATTAATTTTAATAGTGTAATAGAAACATGCTAGAGCTTTCAAAAATTCCAAGTAACAATAAAAGAAAATATATCGTGTAGTAATTGAGAGATGAATATAGTAAGGATTATATATTGGTAATTTCAGAGTAGAAAAATCTGAAGTTGACCTGTCTTAAAATTATTGAAATTTTCAAAGATACACTCTGACTATAAAAAATGAAACTGAGAAAGCTAAGTTCAGACATTTGATTTTTTTAAATGACTGTCAGTAAAGACAACTTGAACTTAGACTTGTTACTTGGAGATAAGGAGCCAGCTAAGGGTGTGATTGGATACCAGGGAGTAAAAGTTGCATATATGGCGGAAGAGTTGCTTTTTTATACTCACTTGCAACGATGCGTCTTCCATCTGCTAGAATCATTTCTCCATTTTCTACTAGAGTTTTTAAAATACAGGTAACATTTGTTGGGGCCTTGTCAGCCTCATCTACTACCAGAACATGACCCAACTTTACTGCTTTAACCTTTGAAGACAGAACATTTACCATAAACAAAAATGAAAGCAAACATTGAAAATTTCATCATTCGGTGCTTGGGATTTATAATAGCTGGTTAAGTTACGCATATACAGTCACAAAGAAAGTTTGTAGCAGAGCTGGAAACAAAATTTATGGATCTCCACAAAAAGCTTCTCATAGTTACTAAACTGCTAACTCCACAGTAATTTATTTCCCTTTAGCAGTGTAATTATTCCTATGTTGGTGATGTCCACAACATATTACACACCAGACTAGGGGAGATTTAAAACAAGTGTGACGAATGGAGAAATTAAAGTGTCATGGGCGTGGAGTGAGACATTACAACAAATGGTGGATTTCAGAACATTGCATTTGTTATGGCTCTGAAAGAATATACAATTTTTACAGATCGGAATGGACTGTGAAGAGGTGGGTATTCAAGATAAAGGGTATCAATGGTCAAACTCAAGAAATCCTGAAGTATTCTGAGGGAAGAGTGAATAAGAATAGTCTATCTTGTCTGAAGCAGAGGTTAAATGTAAGAAAAGAGAATAGGGTCTGAAAGGGTAGATCAGGTCTCTACTACGAAAAAACATGTACTTTTCCTCACTAAGCAATGGGATGTAACTAAGATCTATGAATTCAGAAATTATCGGAATGGAGCTGGGAGCTATACTTTAGGACATTTAATCAGGCAGCAATATGCAGAATCGACCAAAGGGGGATTAGCATAATAACTTGGTCCAAAAATGGTTTGGCGCCTGATTTAGAGAGAAAGTGGGGAAAATGGAAATAAAAAGCATTAGATGATCTCAAGAGTTTTCAGAGGTATAATCTATAGTATTGGCAACTGATTAGATGGGGAGAGGGGAAAGGAAAAAAAATAAGAAAAACTCGTGGGTCTTAGGTAATTGACTGAATGGTAACATTGTGAAAAGAAAGGTAGAAGCTATGAAAACTCTTTAAAATATTTTTAAAGAATGGATAGGAAGAGATATTCAATGAATTTAATTGTAAACCCAAAGATTACATTTTTAAATAGTAAGAAATATCTCATAACATAAAACGGGCCAAATCATAAACTTTTCTCATTACAGTTTTGGCACATAAATATGTAAGGAAATACAGATTGAGAAGTGAGTGATTTCCTCTACCACAGATATTTTATTCCACATTCTTAAAAAACAGATACTTTTCTTTTTAATATCAGGGTAAAATTAAACTGAATTTAAAAAGATGATAACTCATACAGCTTCTACCCCCAACCTCAGCCTTCACTTCTCTGTTCAGGGAAAGTCAGGCCCACACTGGGAGAATTCAGGCAGGAGTTCCTAAAGACTCCAGTCATTGGGGTCTGGATCACACAGGTTTTCATGATGGCTTATTGTGACACTGATGCAAAGGCATTATCTACTCAGAGGGGTAGGCCAGGCAGGACAGGATTTCTTTGAGGCCTTATGTGAGAAGCTGAGGAATAGCTCTTTCCAGTTGCCTAAAACATTTGGTTAATATTCTTATTAAAACCATTTTTAAAAACATTCCAGAAGTATTACCTAATTTCAAACTCTACACATTTGTAAAAAACAAAACAAAAACAAAACACAGAAAACTTTTTTCTTTTTTAGATTCTGGAATGGAAAAGAAATCATTAGAGGATTTCAATCATTCCCTAAATCTCTCACTCTGGAGAGAGAACAGAGTAAGAAACCATGTTATTTTCCCCAAATAATTTACAATTAAACATCCACTCCCCAAATGACATAAATGAGTGCTTTCCAGTTAAGAATGAAACATATTGGAATCTATGGGAGATTCCATACTCCCCTTACTCAAAGGCTGAAATACAACTACCATTAAAAAAAAAAACACACAGTAGAGAATATTCATATAATTGGATTACTAACCAAAGGTGAGTCTTCATACACAATAAGTCCATCTTTAACAGAAGGCTGAAGAGTAAGGCTTTGTACCGTGGTGTCCCTACAGTGAAACCAACACAATTTAAAGTTAGTCAGGAAATACACTGACATTTGATCATGAATAAATATAGAACACAAGAACACTTCCTATTTTCTTTTTCTTCATTATCCTGTATTTCACCAAATAAATAAAAATAGCAGATGGAATTCTATTCAGCAACAGTATTTTGTAGATGTAAATATAAATTATAAGGATTTGGAAATTAATCCAGGTTTATACATTATCCAAGTTCTTCACTTCTCTTTTTTCTTCCAGATAAAAAAAGTGATCACCTCTCTTTCCTTGTGACCATTTCACTCCTCAAAATCACCACTTGATAGTGAAGAGGAGAAATTAAAAATACGTATTTGTATGATATATACATTATATATATTATTTTAAAGTAACTTTGATGGTGAGTTTGGTGATGACTGGAATGTTGACACACCAATTAAAGCAAGTCTGTGAATTACGTCTGGGCCTGGCCCAATCTGCCATCATTAGGCAAGAGCCAGACTACTTCACCTCACTCCAGGACCCAAGGGATTTTAAACACATCTGCTGTGATAATGGCAATCCATTTTATTTTCTTAAATTTACCTGCTCCTCTTTTCCTGACCCTTCCTTTTAGATATTCAGAAGTATTAAGAGTAAGCTGTCTTGATGATGTACTCCTCACTGAGGAAATATGTTCACTCCACCCATGATTATTCTTGTAAAAAATGTGTTCATAAGCTGCAGTTGATAGACAGGTCCAGACATTTTTAAGGGAATCAATCTTATATCTTTACATTTTACGTATGTTCTATCTTAAAAAAATTATCCTACAGCCACCTTGATCACATCATACAGAGAATTAAATTACTTTTAAATGTAACGCCTTTCTTTACAAGACTTCAAAGTGATTTTTTTCAAACTACTCTACCACTTATTCGAAGTAAAATGTACAGTTACAATGGTGTTGTTTTGAGTACCTACTATGTGTAAGACACTACTTGGAATGGGAACGTCAGACTTTAGTGCTAAAACATACTTTTGAAATGTCTACGCAAATTCCAGATTTTACTATAATTTATCAAAATTATAAAATGTCTATCCATTAGAAAAAAATATCATATGAAAATCACAAACAAAGCAAACTTCATATATAAGTCAAAACTTTTTTTTTGCTTTAGCAAAACATAGTTAATCAAAATCAATCCACTACTTTGAGAGCCAGTAGAGAGGAGGTGGAAAGAAGACTTGAAAATCAGAGCAATCAGGATTTAAATTCTGGTTCTTGCCAATTATTGTCATATGATCTTGGTTTAAGTAATAAAACCCACCCAGGAGGCTCACTGATGGAAAACTTGGAAAGCATCTAGCACAGCATATGGCAGGTAAAAAGTGCACTTACCAGTATGTATCAGCTTTAACTATTTCCTGTTATCATTATTGCTGCTCTTATGACTGAAAGTTACTTGCCTGTCTAACTTCTACTTGATCTTCAAGTTCTTAACGTAGACAGTATTTACAGAGAATACCCTCACTGACCCTATTCAGGCCGGGTTAGGTAGCTTTGCTGTCTATTCCTCCTGAGCCCTGGATCTCTCCCTGTTTTAGCCCTTAACAATTTATAGTGTAGATGCTTATTTTAATATCTATCTTTCTACACAGATGGTAAGATTAAAGAATGTAGACCCTCTACCTTGATCTACCTTGTCCCTCATCCTGTCCCCAGCATCTAACGGATGTCTGGCTCCCAGGAAGAATTTAATAAGTATTTATTGAATAAATGAATGCATGAATGAAATGAACAAAAATGCTAAAAGTTGAAAAATCAACCAAAGCTTATAGTCAACATACAGTATATGAACTTTCAAATTCATTGGATCATGGAACACTTTTTTTAAAATAGAGAATCTGGAACTACAGAACCCATTTTCGTAATTGTTTTTTGATTAAGGCTGATTCTCTGAGAGGTAAGGAACCCTCCTTATTCATTTATAAGTGTGTATTAAAAAGTACAGTCATGTTGAGAAGTATATTTAGGTTCATTAGTCAAGGGACTAAGAGGCAGAATTTTTATGTCCACCATAGACTCTAACTGAGTTAAATTCCACTTATTGTAGCAGGAAACTTTGGGCATGAGTAGGGATGCTGGCAGTATAACTACTGACATTAAGAATTTCTAGAAAAAAATCAGTGGAGGGCAGAATAGGCAGATGCGTGCCAAGGCTTGTCCTGGAGCAAATAGAACAAGCAGCTGAAACAAGGAACATCCACCCCGAATTGGTGAAGTATACTAAGCTGGTGAGACAGTTTGCATCCAGGAAGAGCAGAGTTCCCCTGGAAAGGAGCAGCAGCTATGTGAGCGGCCCGCTCCCCCATCCGAGGAGCAGCAACCACGCAAGCAGTCCAACCTGTCCAAGGAGCAGCAGCCGCACGAGCAGTCTGCCTACGTCTGAGGAGCAGCAGCCGTGCGCAGCCCACCCTCATCCAAGGAGCAGCAGCTGTGCAAAGCCTGCATCCTGCACCAGTTCGAGGAGCAGTAGCCACACAAGCAGATCGCCCACGTCTGAGGAGCAGCAGCCCTGCACAGCACACACCGGTCCAAGGAGCAGAGCCACACAAAGCTTGCAACTGTCCGACAAGCAGCAGCTGGGTGAGGGGCCCATCCACATCCAAGGAGGAGCAGCCATGCGTACAGCTCACTCCCATCCGAAGAACAGCAGCCATGCAAGCAGCCCACCCCCGTATGAGGAGCAGCAGACTTGCAATCAACCTCTCCAAGTCCAAGGAGCAGTAGCCCCACAAGCAGCCCACCACATTAGAGGAACTACAGCAGCGTGCAGCCAGCCCCCATTCAAGGATTAGCAGCCACGTGAGCTGTCCGCCCCAGTTCAAGGAGTAGCAGCTCCCTGTGTAGCCCGCCCCCATCCAAGGAACAGCAGCCTCGTGATCAGCATACCCTCTGTCTGAGGAACAGCAGCTGTGTGAGGAGCCTCCCCCAACCAGCCAGAGGAGCCATCACAGCTGTGAACAGCACCCACCAGAGGAGCTGACTTATGTAAGAATGAAGAAGAAATGAAGAGTGATATACCTGCAATAAAAAACACCATTGAAAGTTTCAAGTAGACTAGGAGAAGCAGAGGACCGAATTAGCGAATTAGAAGACAGGTAGCAAAACACACCCAAACTGAACTGCAATTGGAGAAAAAAATTAAAAGACAGGAGGAGAGCCTAAGGGGGCTATGGGCAACATGAAACAAAACAACCTATAAATAATAGGGAGGCCAGAACAATAGGAAGAGGAACAACAGTTAGAAAACCTACTCAAAGAAATAATATCAGAAAACTTCCCTGAGGTGGGGAAGAAAAAAGTCACACAAGCACAGAGAGGCCCAAACAAGATGAACCCGAAAAGACCCACACCTAGACACATCATAATTACCATGGCAAATGTTCAGGACAAAGAGAGAATCGTAAAGGGTGCAAGAGAGAGACGGAAAGTTACATACAAGGGATCTCCCATTAGATTATCAAATGATTTCTCAACAGAAACACATCAGGCCAGAAAAGAATGGACGGAAATTTACAAAATGATGCAAAGCAAGGAACTGAATCCAAGAATACTCTATCCAGCAAGGCTATCATTCAAAATTGAAGGGGAAATAAGAAGCTTCAAGGACAAAAAAGGCTAAGGGAGCTTATCACCACCAAGCCAGCAATGCAAGAAATGCTAAAGGGACTGGTGTAAAAAGAAGAAATAAAAAGCTCAGAAAGAAAACAGGTACAAAAATAGAAATGGCTACAAACAAGTACCTTTCAATAATAACTTTAAACATGAATGGACTAACTGCTCCAATCAAAAGACATCGAGTGGCTGAATGGATATAAAAAGATGACCCATACATTTGCTGTCTACAAGAGACCCACCTCAGAAGAAGGGACTCACACAGACTGAAAGTGAAGGGATAGAAAAATATCTTTCAGGCAAATGGAAATGAAATAAAGCTGGGGTAGCAACACTTATATCGGACAAAATAGACCTCAAAGTGAAGGCCATAGCAAGAGATAAGGAAGACCACTTCATAATACTAAAGGAATAAATACAACAAGAGGATATAACCCTGATAAACATATATGCACCCAATGTAGGAGCACCCAAATACATAAAAATACTCCTGGAAGATATCAAAGGAGAGATCGACAACAATGCAATCATAGTAGGGGACTTTAATACTCCACTGACATCAATGGATAAATCTTCTAGACAAAAAATAAGCAAAGAAACAGCAATCCTAAATGACTCACTTAAATGTAAGATGGGAAACCATAAAAATACTAGAGGATTCCAAAGGCAACAAAATCTCAGACATATGCCAAAGCAATTTCTTCACCAATACATCTCCTAGGGCATTGAAAACTAAAGAGAAAATAAACAAATAGGACTACATCAAAATAAAAAGCTTCTGCACAACAAAAGAAACCATCAACAAAACAACAAGAAAGCCCACTGCATGGGAGAACATATTTGCCAATGTAATCACCGATAAGGGTTTAATCTCCAACATTTATAGGGAACTCATACAACTTAACAAAAGGAAGATAAACAATCCAATCAAAAAATGGGCAAAGGACCTAAATACACACTTTTCAAAAGAGGACATTCAGAAAGCCAAGAGACATATGAAAACATGCTCAAAGTCACTAATCATCCGAGAGATGCAAATCAAAACGACAATGAGGTACCATCTCACACCTGTCAGACTGGCTATCATCAACAAATCACCCAATGACAAGTACTGGAGAGGATGTGGAGAAAAAGGTACACTCGTGCACTGCTGGTGGGAATGCAGACTGGTGCAGCCTCTACGGAAGACAGTATGGAGCTTCCTCAAAACACTAAAAATGGATCTCCCATTTGCCCAGTAATCCCACTTCTAGGAATATATCCCAAGAAACCAGAAACACCAATCAGAAAGGATATATGCACCCATATATTCATAGCAGCACAATTCACCATAGCTAAGATCTGG